TCTTCTTAATGAACGTGAAATTATTTTCGTTTATGATTGAAAGTATTTCATTAGCTGCTGCCGCCCCGCCGTTCGCTGTGAGAAAAGATACAAATGTATCTACCATCCCATTGGAGGCTTTCGATTCGCTGGCGCGGAATGTGCTAGTTCATGGCGTTGTGTTAATTAATGCTGCCCACACCACCCCGAAAAATCGGTGTCGATGTTTCTCATTGTTTGATTGATGGCAAGAGTTGGCCAGGAAGGATGCTGGCAAGTTGCTGGCAAGATACATTTGTATCTATCTACCTATCTAACTATCTATCTCTAAGCAAATGCAGCAAAGAAATTGAACATTTTGTGGTTGAGTCTGCACTTTCCAGCGGCTTAAAAGGGGTTAATAATATTACATAATAATCATATTGAAAGTAATATTTCTACTTGTAACTTTTACTACTCTTCAAATCTCCTTTTCTCTCTTCTAAAATCTGTATACGCCCCTGTCTGTCTTTCTGCATTTTGCATTTGGATCGTTGAGGTCTCTGCCGGTCTGTCTTAAAGAGTCTTTTTTTTTGGCCTTACAACAACTTCTTTCACCAGCCTTTCCCTGGGTGTATCATTTTGATTGATTTCGATTCAGTTCGTACCCCGGCTGGGTGTTATTCAATTTTTGTGCCATATCATAAATTTAATTTGAGATGAAAATCCCAAAGATATGCCGCATTATCCCAAGTCCGTGCTGCCTGCCGCCTGCTGCCTGCTGCCCGTGTTTCGTTTCGTTTCGTTTGTAAACCAACAGATACAGCTTTAGGTACAAATACAGATACAGATAGAGATACAGCTATAGATACAGATACAGATACAGATAGGAAAACGTTTTGATCGCCTGGCCACAATAACGGATTACATTTGAAATTGTTTGGCATTGGCGCCCGCTTCCAAAAGCCCTCTCTTCCACCTCTTTCCCCTCTTTCCCCTCTTCGCCCATGCCACTTTCAACCAATCTTCTCCACAATACCCAATCGAGAAAATCCCCCCTGAAACCGAACACCCCATACCCGTCGTTGAGCCAAGTGTTTTTCCAATATTACACGATGACTTTGAATATTTTGTCTGGGCACATCATGGGTGGGATTTTGTGATTAGAGAGCGATTCACCAGAGATAGAGGGGGGAGGACGGTGGGCAACAACGGTGGCAAGTGTAACAAATATGCTGGGCATTGGCAAGTCAGTCGGACATGGATGGGACTACAAAACTGCCAGAGGAGTACCCGAAATGGAATCCACACTTATTCTGATTGTTTGCCCAGCCAGTCAGCCAGCCAGCCAGCGTAGCCGGCTCCCTCTTGGTTTCTCTGGGCCCCTCCAAAGTTTTTGGCTGTAAAACCAGTTTTGGGATAAACTCACTCGTGATTTGAACGAATCCTGAAACGGAGCCAAGAATCATTTTTCGGGAAATCGATAGATAGAGGTTTGGTTTGGTTTTTGTTTTGCGGAAAAGAGACGATAAAAACAGATTAGGCAGATGCAAATCGTAGTTACTACTCACTCGGAGGGGTAAAAACAATTAACATTTGCCAAGTATGGACCGTTGGGTAGGGGGTAGGGGGGCTCAAATGTATGGAAAATTAGAGGAAAAATATTTGAATTTTGCTTTTAATTACACGCTAGATTTAATATTTAGTTAAGTAGAGAATGAAAAAGGGCGATTTATGCGAATGAATGGGCTTGTTAGAGGGAAACTATAAACACGAATTTCGTTTGAAACAAATGGAGTTAGAGAAATAATAAATATTTACCCTGAAATCATAGAACTAGAAATGATAAATAATAATAAGAAAAACTAACCAAAAAAGTGATGTTAAACTAATTAAGAAAAACCTAACAAAAAAAAGAGAGATGAAAAACCAGCGAAAAACAAACAAAGTAAAGCGTAACGAAAGGTCACAAGGTTGTTGTCAGTCCGAAAAGACAACCCAACTGACATATCAATCTATATATATATATATCTTCTATTCCCATTTAGATCTGTTAAAATCTCATACATCCCAGCCATGAAAATCATATAAAATCCATATTAAGGAAGGGAAAAACCGGAGAAACCCCATTCCACGAAGAGATTTCCATTCGAGTCTTGCGGCAAAAACTATTTGCAACCGCGGGTGGCAATGCCACCGAGGCCCCTTTCGGGCCACTCTGCCTGCCCCAGCATGGAACAGGGGATGCAGACGATTCGCCGCTAAAGAGGTTAAATCCATCCATGCCATTAACAATTATTAATAATAATAATAAAAATAATAATAATAGTTGTAATAATTAATAAAAAAAAACGACAAGAGCGAACGCGAGTCACGTAACACGTGAAAGAAGCGAAAAAAAAGCGAAAAAAAAGGCGAAAAAAAAACACATAATTAAATAATAAATAATCGACATAAATCGTGAAAAGTGAAGTGCACTCTCGGCACTCTCTCGGTACAGTGAACACCAGACACAAAATGACTATGAAATCGATGAAGTACTCAGATTGTGATACCATCATGGATGGCTACAATCCGGTACCGCCGCCCCTGCCCCGCCGAGTGCCACCCGTGCGAAATATCTACGCAGAGCCCTTTGCCCACGAGCCGAACCATTCCAGCAGGTAAATAATGTGGACAGTAACTGTGCACTGAAAAAAATTATAATTTATTAAGTGTTTAAGTAAGTTTATGAAGGCCAAACAAAGGTTGGAATATATAAACTATACTCGTATTTTAGTAACATTCATTTTGTATAGTTTTTTCTCTCAGTGCCTTCACCTGCACACCTGTGCAAATAATTGTAATTAAGTCGAGTGTCATAGCGAATTTACAGCGCCATCAAAATGCCAACGACAAAGGCAAATGGCGATTATGCACAGGTCAACTCGGGTCAACCATATCCATATCTCTGTCTGTCTGTCTGTCTGGCTGACTGTCTGGTCTGGCTGTCTCAGCCTGTCTCTGCCTGACTAACATGGCCATAAAATCATTGCCAAAATATTGCCACAGATTTAAGACTTGATTAACAATCGACTCCTCGGGTCGGTTGCATTGTCAAAATGCATTTAATAATTAGAAAATAAAAGCAAAGTAAACGACGTCGCCGTCGCCGTCGCCGTTGCTGTTAATTGAGCTCTCTAACTAATATCTAGAAGTAGCAAAAATAAACTAAAGTGCTTTGAGCCTTAATTAAAAACAGCAATCTGAATAGGAAAATATGACTTACACTTGAGGGTAAAGTGCAAAGTGAATTTGTATCATAATTAAACAAATTATATTAAGAGTGTTTGGCAGAAACAACAACAAGATTTTGATTAAATTAGGGAATTTAGCAGGGGTTTTAGTAGGGGTTAAAATAACTTAAACTATGCTTAACTTTCTTGTTCACTTATTAGCTAATCTAAGAACTAGTCAAAAGGTAAACCAGTTAACTATTAACTTGCAACTCAAAACTAAAAAAAATCCAACAAAGTTTCTCGAAATAAATCTTTGACCTAGAAAACTCACCATAACCCCTTAACATTTCCCCAAAAACCCCGCAAAAAAAGCAACCTTCTTTATTGCCTTGTCCACCTTAAGGTGTTGCTTTGTTTTCCTTTTTATTTTTTTTTTTGGAAAAACTCCATTTTCCGACACAATCATCCCCAATTCAAAGGCAAGAAACTGGAACACAATTGCAATAAACGCACGCCCCGATGAGTAGCTCCCATAGTTTGTACCTCCTTCTCGTGGATTTTTTTTTTTTGGCTGCGCAACCTCCCGCACTTGTATGCCACAGAGTTGCATATTAAAAAGAAGGAAAGAAGGAGAAATATGTGTTTGTATATGGGAGGGAGGGAGGTTGGGAGGTAGGCAAGAGAAGTAGAGGGAATGATAAAGAAATGTCCCATATAAAGCGGCGTGAGTCGAGTGTACAATATGCATTTTCATATCTGAATAAATAGACAGGCGAGAGGTGCGGAGTTCTCACTGGGATACAATATATATATAAAAAAGAAATATATATAAATATATATATAGGGATATATATATATATATAACCCACAACAATGACCGGAGGAGTGGTGAAGGGGCGGTAACGAGGGCAGACAGATGGAAGAGCTTACGAGGACGACAAGGAGGATGAGAATGAGGATGAGAATGAGGATGTGGATGTGGATGGGAAAGGGAATGGGAAAGGGAATGCAGATGAGGGGCAACAACGGCCAAGTGGTAACCAACAGTCAGCCAACTGATACAAGAGGCTGCTCTCTCTATACAGGCAGAAAAATTAGTGGCTTCTTGTTGGCTTTAATTGGAAATCAAATTATGAGCTCAACGAGGACAGTTATTGGTGAAAGATATGACAGAAATACAACGTTTTTCTTTGGGGTTCTTGGGCTTTAAGTTCTCATTTTCGATAAGAGAAAGATTTACAAAATTTAAGATTTTAATGCAGGTGAATGCAATGTGAAATATGAATGCAGTTTGAATAGAAATTTAATGACGGAGCTCTCAACGAGTTATGACAATTCCAATTTTCTACCATTTTAGGCTTAGTTTACTAGTAAAAATTCCATAACTTTAGGGCGGTGGGGAAAACTAAGAAAACAATTTTCCCCGCTGTGTAGTGGGTAAGTAAAAAAAAAAAGTAGTGAGGGTGCGTGGGCGTGGCTGTGGGGGCAGGTTTCGGTAGTGCGCCGCAATATGTTTGCCTGTCAGTTTCATGCATTTCATATCGAAAACCATTCGTACTTTTACTTGAGTGAGTTTTATGAGCAACGAGCCGAGCCGCGCCTGTACGGAGGGGGGGAGGGGATACACATATCCATGAGGATGCTCCACTGGCTACACATTGTATCCTTTTTCAAAATGATGATGATGGTAGCAGTGGAGATTCCTTTCCCAAGCGAAAGAGACGTTGAGGGGAGGGAGGAACTCTAAACATCAGTGGCCCCGTTTATATGCATAGTTTTTGGTTGCTCTGCGATTGCAAACTGCGAAGTGGGTTAGATTGTGTTCCGCTGCTGCTGCTGCTGCTGCCGCCTGCCTGTGTGTTCGCTCAGCTTTTATATTAAATGAAAATTCCAATTACTTTTTATGGGACTAGCAAACGCTTGGTAGTGTGGTGGTGGTCACAAAAAGTGGTTAGGGGAACTCCTTCAGAACTTAACTCAAACTTGAAATAGTTTAAAGAGGAAAATCTTGTGATCTTGTGATGAACTTAAAAATCTATAAAAGAAATAGAAATATTATAAAATTGTAAATTTAACATTTATAGAAAGAAACCTACTTACCTAGAATGTCAAACTTTTCCACAATTTAAGCTGCTGCTGCTGCTCGAATTTAAAAAAACCGAAAAAAAATTACAATAAATATTTCTTTCTTTTTTCTCTCTTTTTCGCCACTTTTAGGTAAGTTATGGAAACATTCTGGCAGACCTGGAGGAATACGAATGCGATATAGTAGGACTATATATATATATCAAGAGGGGTATATAATGTATATATATATTCATGCATATTTGAGGAGCGCAGGGCAGGAAAAGCGCCTCGCTTCGCCTCGCTCAACTGCAGAAGTTCGAAAAGTCGGGGGAATTTAATAATTCAAGTGGCCGGGCGAAGGGCGAAGGCCTCTCTAATGACCTACTTGAAAACAAACAACAACAGTAACGAAAAACGAACAACAAAACACAACAAAAAAAAAAGGAAAATAGAAAAGTATGACTACCAACCAACCACCTAACCACCCACCCATTCATCCACCCACCATCCTGCGCACATAAGTAATTTGTATGCTCGTGTGGGTCAGGTGGTTTTTCGGTAGCCAGAAAACTTGTTTAGTTTTCGGTTTGGCTTAGTTCAGTTTTCAGTTTAGTTTAGTTGAGTTTTGTATTTTCCATTTTCCATTTGCCATTTCCCCAGCACCGCCGCCATACATAGGTTTGACTTGCAAGTTTAGTTTTGCACTTCAAGTGCATTTCACTAACAAACAAAAACGAAGCAGGGAAAATCCCACACAAACATCTAACCTCTTGACCCAGTCCAATCAATATGCTACCCTCAAACTCTTCTCCCCACGCAGGCTAACAGAAAAAAAGGAAAAGGAAAATAAATCGTGATGAACATTATGATTGAAGTGCCGAGCTTGATATCATTTCGTTGGACAAACAACTCGGCCAAAGAGGGGGTATATGTCATACAAATACTATATATATATATCTGATATATCATATATATATATATATACTATATACCATACCTAGACTATGGCAATGGGAGACAACTTGATTTTGCTCGTTAGACAACATTTGTTTCGGACAGTTGGCAACTAATTTGTTTTGAAATGGATGTCCACAGTGTCCTCTTCGACTCGACCCCCAGGAGGACTACACTTTGGGGTAGAGAGACAGGGGGGGGTATACACAAGGGTCAGCAAATTGAATATACCAAAAAGTAGGAGAGAAAAATAACAGAAAACTAAATAAGGAAAAGGCAGGCGCAAGAAATGCTGAGAAAAGGCAGGCAGGCAGGCAGACGACGGGCTGAATATGCCAGGAACATGTGCCGATTTTCTTTCATCATTGGGTCTCTCTACTCACTTGACGGCAAATATTATGCCACATTCTTGATAGATTCAGATGGGGAAATTATAAGAATATAATGTTAAGCTAGAAGTTCTGCGGTTTTTTATAGTTTTTTGTTTTCAAGAACTTTTATTGATTAATCAGAATTTCCTTGCCTTTAAAACCATTTTTCCTAAAAAATATTGCTAGCTTTCCAACCCAATCCACAAACAAAACCTATGTGTCATACATTCTACATTTCAAAATTCTATCCATTAAAACTGAAAATCTTAAGCTTTTATGTTTGTAAGTTGTTAAGAAATCTTGCCAGATTGAGTTCTCGTGTTGTATTCCAAAGTTTAATTAGCCATAAAAAACGAAAAAAACAGAATCTAAAAGTCAGCGGAGGGTTCTAAATCATTTTCCATTTTCATGTTTTCCTGTTGATTTTCCAAGATCTTCTCCATCGCATTACCAGAACATTCGGCCAGGCCAATTGATGGAACTTCCAGTGATACCTCTGGCAAATCCATTGCCAAAGGTACTGAGTTGGTTCCCAGAATATCCTTGAACAAGGAGTCGGCACTTGGAAGATAGAAACTTGGATCCTGAACGGCATTGGAAAGAGGTTCTTCGGGTATTTTCGAATCGATAGTGTCTGGAATATTTGGTAAAGTTGAGGTATTTGTATCTGTTAATTGAGAATCCAAAAGTTGAAAAAGAGCCGGCAAGGAGACCAAAACTTCATCGCTATCTTGGCGATCCTCCAGATCGGATCTTCGTTGCTCCAGAGTTCGCAGATTGGAGCCCACAGAGGTAGAGTTGAGTGAAGATTCATCGAGTTCGTCTAGCAAGTCCTCCCTGGTGTTTGATAAGTTATCTAAGTTTGATAAGAAGAGGAGGTAATTGGATATATATATTGAAAATATTATAGAACCCTAACTCACCCAAAGGCTTCCTCTTTTTACTTTTGGTTGTTGAATTCTTAAGCCTTCGACGATTGCCTTTCTTCTGCATGGCTTGGGTGCTACTTGCCTTGGGTTTTTCACTAACCTTCAAACTTTGACCCGGTGGCTCGGCAATGGTAACCGATTTACGAGAAGCCTTTCGATCCAAACGTGAAGTCGTCTTCATAATGGAAGATCTTTTGGGACCAGCTGAGCTGGTGCCAGGAAGATTCTTTGCAATCTTAGCAATGGGTATGGGAATTGGATTTGATTTTGGATTACTACTACTGGGACTAGTGCCAGGCAGTGGCGTTATCGACTGGCGTAGTTTTTGATTCTCCGCGAAGAGTAGAGCCCGCAAATTTCGCATTTCCTCGGTGAGTTTGGCTCGGCGTTCTTCCAATTCTTTTAGTTTTCGATGTTCACCCTCCAAGCTGGCGAAAAGTCGAGCGAAGACAGCATTATTCTGGTCTTGCTGACGATGTCGAGCCTCCAAGCGATTTGGTGGTCGATCGTTGTTGGTACTTTTTAAGCTTTGATTATCCTCGGCATTAGGTTTTTCGGCCATGGCTTGAGGTTCTCTTGGGGTGGTGGTAGGGTTTGGTTTATCTTAGAAAAACCTCGTTCGCCCTGCCTAAGGAAAATCCAATTTGGAATTTAGTATGTGGTGTGTGTGTTTAGTTACTGTGTTGTGTTTGGAATGAGCTATGGAAGTCTAACATTTTTAAAGTCTAAAAGTGACAGTTAATCAAGGCCTACTGGGGGGTTAAAAATGAAGTTTATTTGATTGGCCTTTATGAACTCTGCGCTTCTTCTAACATTTCAGAAAGAGAATGTCGATCCCTTACCCCCCCTTTTTGAAATTGCAAATTGATAAAGTCGGAAAATTGCCCCTTCAAGAAGTGCAAACATAAAATTTGGAGTGCGATTTTATTTGCACTCCCAGTGCTGCCATTTATACCCGGCCTTTTAGCCACTCTCAAATTGGTCGAAACTATTAAAGTTGAAAAACTTTTTAGCTTCTGTTTTCAGCCCGCCCTCCCCTCTCCCCTACCTCTTTCCACTTTGATCCCCCGGAATTGGTTCCATTTTATTCGGACTCTCATATTTTGGCAGACAAACTTCAAACTATTGTTGTGGCAAGTCAATGAACTGGCAAAATCGCCTAATATTTCCACACTCCCAGACACTTGTCGTTCTTCTCGCTCACTCTTTCTCTCTCTGTGTGTGTGTTTTGTTGTTTTTGTTAAGGGGGGGAAAGGAGTTTTCCCCAGGAGCTTCATGTTTTGTGCTCTGAATGGCCAAGTATATTAAAAGTCTATTTCTTTTGGCAAGACAATAAAGTAGCGCGAGGGCGCTAGGATAGGATAGTGAAGGACATTGGCTGGCTCACTCTGCCCCGTTTTGTTTTGTAACAAAAGGACACGAAGATGAAGTAGGATAGGAAGGAGTAGGGTATATTCAGGAGTGGGTTTACAGGAGAGGGATTCAGTTTGTAGGATTCCCAGATCCTGGATCCAGGACTTTGTTGGCTGGCTGGCTGGGTGACTGGCTATTGTTCTACTTCGCGAAATAGCGCACATAAAAAGCCAAAGAACGACGGCCATAAATGATAAAAAAAAAAGAATAGGGGAGAGGGGAAAGGGGAAAGGGAAACGGAAAGGAGGCGGCAGAGAAAATTGGTGGAAGAGCCGAAACTGAACCCGAAGTGGGGGATAAATGACAGCCAACTGGCAGCCAGACAGAGGCGGCCAAAGAGGGAAAGAAAGGGGTGTGAGAATCGCCAAGAAAAACTGGAGAAAAGGAAAAAAATGGCAAGCCAGTCCAGTGAAATGGTATAAAATGCCAGGCCCGACATCGACATTTTCTCCCTGCCCAACCTATCTCCCTTCTCCTTGTCCTACCCCTACGCCCCTGTCAATTCCGACGACGACGACGACGACGTCTACGAGGAAAAGGGTTAAAAATGTTTCATTGCCTCGACAGGACTGCGAAGACAACATATGCCAATAATTTACGCAATTTAGACAAAGTAAAAAAACAAAAAAAAAATAAAGGAAAAGGAAAATACAAGTCGAGGAGGGAAAAATAAGAAAAAAAAACAGAAAACAATGGAGGAAAAGAAAAAGAAAGGCCCAAGAAAATATTCTCTCCAGGCGGCAAATCCATCAGGAGTTGGGTGTTAGATACTCCTCCCCCCCCATTTCCTCACCACCCATCGAATTTGAAAACCGAATTGATGCTCAATTTTATATTTTAAATGTTATTCAAATTGTGTCACATTTCTCAGTGTAATGGCTTGGAATCGTCTGTAGAATACGAACCAGAAAAGGGTTATAGCCGAGTTGGTGTTGTTGTGGCTTGTTTGAGGAGGAGCTTCCTCCGCCTCCTTCCTCCTCCTCCTCTCCAATTGCTAAGCCCCATTTTATTTATCGACTGTCATTTCACCAAGGGTTGTCCATATAACTAACTGTTTCTATATAGAGTATATATATATAGATATATATATAGGAAGAGAGAGAGAGCGAGAGAGATGCCTTAGAAATGAACGATTTAAATGCGCTAAGCTAATTAGCTGTGGCCAACAGCACCGAGAAGTTGGCCAACGCAACTGACCCTCAAAGGTTGCCAAACGAAGGCCTGCGTTTACGTTTACGTACGGAAATTGCGTCATTAACAGCCGCTTAGTGTGTGGTAAATAAAGGCGATATACAGCACTATACTATATAGGAGTTACAGTGATGGTCAGGAAAATGGGATATCACAACAAGGAAGATTATTGGGTGGGGTTAAAAGATCGATTTAGCCTTAGTTAGAAACCTTTTTAACAGAAGTTCCTTTCCTTCAAAAAAAAGTAAAACTTAATTACAGATATTTAAAAACAAGATTAAATTTAATGTCTCCTTTAAATACTTCAAACTCATCCAAGTGCTATTATTATGACCGCAAACGTGCAAATATGTATTTGTATTCCCACACCCTTTCTTGGTTTCTTGGTGAAACATTAACCCTAAGACGACCTTTGATTAATGCCGGCTCAAAAGATACAACAACAACAGCAAAAAGAACAACAACAATAGAAAGGAACAAAACGAACAAAAAGGCGAAGAACAAAGTCTCGTAATGAGACTGCCATTTCGATGATATGACATCTTGTTGTTTGAGGCTACTCGACTGGAGGGGGGGGGGAGGGCTGAAGGACCGTAAAGAAGGTCCAAAAGGACCTCTTCTCTAACGTATTTTGCACCCATCTCAATTACAGTCCTTCACCGAAGAGTCATCTTCTTCTGCTTCTTCTTCTTAGTCTTGGTCTTGGTCGTCGTCTCTTCATCTTCCATGGGGTCATCCATTCCCTACCCTTCATCAATTCCCCCAGCCCCAGTCAAGGATTGCGAAAACGATTCCTTTGGTCATTTTTACCTACCTACCTACCTCCAGGGGAGAGTAACTTTCACAAGGTGAACTCCTTAACCTAATGCCCCTCAGTAGTCACGCCTACATCTGACGCACCGCCCCCATTTCACCTACTAATGATGTCCAATTCAGTGTTCAATCTGACTTCCCCGGAGGCCAGGTAGGTGGGTGGATGGGTGGATGGACGGTAAGAACCAGAACAAATGAAAGCAAATCCCAGTCAGAGGTGGAGACCCAAAATGAACTACATGACATCTGGAGTACTAAACATTGGATGGGTCAGTAGTAGGGCAGAGAAAGAAGTAGCAGAAGTATTAGTACTTTCTCGACAGCTAATTGGACAAGTGAAAGTGAAATGGGGTCCTAGCCTAAAGGCGTTTCTCCATATCATGTTCTTTTCGCTCGTTCATAAAGAAATGAAACCATTCGATGGATGGCTAATGGGACACTTTGCAAAATAAACATGACCTTTAATTGGGTCACTTGCTGCGGAGGGGGAGTGAAAAAGTTGGAGAGCTGGAAAATATGTACAGCAAAGCCATGTAATCTTGTAATGGAAAACATTGTACTTTTTACCTTAATTAGGTGAGGATGTTTTTCATGTTTTCATTTGCTTTTTTCATGTTTGGAATACAACTTGAACTTTTCTTAAAAGAGTTTGCATGTTTGGGGGTGTGGAAACTAGGGAAAAATATAGGAATTTTCCCCCTTAACTTCAACTAGCAATCACCGAAAATTCCCAAAATTAAAACCCAAACTTTAAGTTCTTTAACCCAACTACTAGCAACAGCTTTTCCTGCCCCTCTTTCTCTCAGTGTAAGCACAATACGGAACTGCTAATAAGACGCCGCACTCCTGCTCGACTAATGCCAAGTCAAAGGGAAAAGCTCTTTTCCTTCTGTTTCTATTTTCAGTTTCAGTTTCGGTTTCGGTTTCAGTGTCAAAGTCAGAGGCCGGGTCAAAAGGCGCATCAATGCTACTGAGCATATTTTGCGGTCGCTACGCTTTTACTCCTCTGGCACACGCCCCCTGCAAAAAACCATTTTCCCAACTGCCACAGAGCCAGGCTTTTCCTTACTATATTTTCTTTTTGGTTTCCCTACTTCGTCTTCTTTTTTTTACATCTTTTTGAGAACTTTCTGTGTGTGTGTGTGTGTGCCATGATGCTGCACAAAAAACTTCCGACAACAATTCTGCAAACGCAAGCAGGAAAACATAAATCTGGCTAAAGCTAAAACGCAAACTTTTATTTAAAAAAAAAACAGGGCAAGAGGAGGAAAAGTTGGAGGGGAAGCAGCTGAAGGAATTTTGTGTGAGTGCGTGCAAGTGATAGAGGGATTGGGTAAAACAGAGACGACGACGACGACGACGACGAGTGCAGCCGGAGAAGAGGTCCCAAGCTGAGGCTTCAAGATTGGCTCCCCAGCTTGGGGACCAACAGATTTTTCAGAGGACTCAACTAGGTCGACAGGGAAGGGGCGCTTCTGTAAGGTTAAAAAAAAAGGGAAATATTAGAACAGGGAATTAGGTATCTTTGTTCTGCTTAAAAAACTGTAAAATGTTAAAACTGACAAGTTAAAGATACAGTTTGAAAGTCATTGGGTTTATTATTTTACAAAACTTTGCAAAAAACCTTAAAAAACTGTAACAAAAACTGTGAAAAACTGTAAAATGTTAAAGTTAACATGTTATAGATACAGTTTGAAAGTCATTGGGTTTATTATTTTACAAAACTTTGCAAGGTTGAATGACATTTTTTTAGAGTTTGCATACCTTTTTTCCACCAAACCATTACTTGATTAATTATTAAATATTTTTTAAAATATATTTTCTATATCTAAATTATACCTTTTGACCAATCTCAGTAGTAGGGCATTTTATAAGCTCCTTAGAATGACCCAAACCGCATTTTGCAATGGACATAAAAATGCGAAAACAAGCTCTTCGCCTTCGCTTCTTAAGAAGACTTGTTTCAAGCCAAAGATATATATATATATATAGAGAGAGAGGGGGAGAGGGGTATAGACAGAATGAAAGAGATGGGTACAACGAACATATCTGGCTATCTGGCTATCTGTATTCCTCTTCCTTTCTTCCACTTCTTTCTTTAAGCAAATGTCCACATTTTGACCATTTGAAATCCAAACAGGCAACTTTTATGTGTGTGCTCCTTTATATTTTTCTTTTTTGTGATTACGTGTGAGTGTGGAACAGACTTTGGCTGCCATTTCGACTTGAGCTTGAAATTTTGCAACATGCCTTCGACATCTCTTGGGTATTTTTACGACTATCACAGACGGCCAAAAGACTGACCACAAAAGCCAAGGCGCCCAAGAGCCGCGACTTGGTCGCTCGGTCGTTCTGTTTCCCTCTTCTGTTCTCTCTTCTGCCCCCCTTAAATGTTACTTTTTTGTTACTGGTTCTGGTTTTGGTTCTGGTTTAGGTTTAAAGCCAAAAAAAAAGAACCAAAAAAGTGAACAACAAAAAGTGGCCAGCTTCTGGTTGAAATGGATTTGGACAGAAACAAACACACAGAGCCGAAATAAAAATAAAGGAAGCATAAAAAACAGATACAGCGATAGAAATAAGAGGGGGGAGTGGGGATGGTGAGGAGGAAGAGGTACCTCCATGATGCACGTGATGCGATTCCTTGCTGGGCTTAGAAGATACAAAGATACAAAAGCTAACAACTAGAACAATCAGTGGTGATCAATGCTGGGGGTTTTACCAGAAAGAAAGAAGCTAAGTGTTTGGGCAAGAGTGGGTAAAAATTAGGTATTTATACATTTGTAAAGAATTTTTATAGATTTTTTTTTCGAAAGTTTTTAGGCATGAAAAAATGATTGAAATTTTCTTTTAGATTTTTCCGGAAGTTGGAAATCATTTAGAAAAGTAACAAAATCAGAGATCAAGAACCCAAACCAAGTTCAAATTTCTTCAATATAAATCCTTGATTAAACTTACCTTAAATTCCTTAAAAATTCAGCTATAAAAAGTCCAAGAAACCATCTCCAAAGACATCCCAGCAACTGAATTCGATTCGATTCGAGAAGAAAGCAAAAGAGAAGAGCAGACTTTAGCCAGCTGATTTGCCGCCAATTAGCAACTAAGTGGATTTGTAGACCGAAAGCTTAGCCTCTGGGTGCTGGCTGTGGGTGGTGCTATTGGTGGTGCCTTGGCTATGGGTTGCTTAAAGCAGTGGTGGTGATGGTGGGTGGTGGTGGTGCTCTCAACTGTCTGTAACTGTGTTACGTGCCAGGTCGAAATGTGAAAAAGTTGCCAATATTTATATCGATAAACAAAGTAGGAATAAACATCAGCGATTCCAAAAGGCACTGTGAGAAATAGTTGGTAAAGTTCTTTGATTTTAAAAGGAAAGTTATTTCGTAGTAAAATCCACCTGCGTATAATTTTGTTTATTTCTTAGTTAAAATTTTCGTTGCAGTGTAGTGGCAGTTAGACAGGCTGAGAGCTCCATGGATGGGGCTTAGTCGAAAGCCACGTGTATGGGGGGATGCGTACGTGCTGCCGTTGAAAAGTGGTGGAGTGAGTCATTTTTTGGGTGGTGCAGGGTTGTGCAGGTTGTTTTTGTTTTCTGTTTTTTTTTTTTTGGGTGGCTCAGTTGCCTGTGCCGGAGGCCAAGGGGCAACCTACTGGCGAACTACTACGTGCTCGGGCCCAGAACGAGACAAGTTAAATCGTCGCGTTATTGATGGCGAATGTACGTGATAGGCTCACATACCACATAGCAGCATCATGATGATGATGATGATGATGATAATGATGATGATGATGCGGATGTGGATGCTTCTGCTGATGCTTCTTCTTCTGCATCTGCTTCTGATCATCATCATCATTCTGGTAATGGCCATAATGATGGCTAAAGGGAACTTTTGCGTCGTCGACAACAGCTTTCAACAAGCATCGAGCCCACCTGTGTGCACGCTTTTCCAACAAACAAAACAAAACAAAAAAAAAGGAAAACAAGAAAAAAACTTTTCTTTTTTTTTGTGCTGGCCCCGTTTTTCCTTTCCTCTTACCCCTCCTCCTTAAACAGCCACCCACCCACCCATGACTTTTCTATACTTTTACACACCCGCCCCCTCCCCAAAAACCCAACGCCCAACATTATGGTGGCTGATGAGGAGTCCTCTTAGCTTAATGTGATTAAAGAGACTTGGCATTGGATTTTATGTTGGCCAGATTGGAAATTTTGACCTGTTTTTCATCTGTCGAGCCAGGCTTTTGTCTTGCCAGCAGATTGGATTTCCTTTGATATTAACTAATGGTTAAACGTATTTTGTCGTTGGAAAAGGTTATTTCTTGTTCGAGAGTTTAAAGATAGTAAGTAGGTGTGTGTGTGATAGAGTTTGGCTTTATGGAAGTCATTTTACAGATTGTTTTTTTCAGAATTTAAAGTGTGATTTCTTTTTTTTTGATTTTAGAAATTAGAACAAAACTCAGGGAACTACAGCTTCTTCTTTTCATAAAATCTAAACAAAATAATCGAATGTTTTTGGTCTAAGGGGGGGCCTTTGGAGGGGCTTTTGCTGACTCATAAAACCCCCACCAACTCCCTTCTGAAAGCACAAACACGACTGCAACTGACAATTTAACATTTAATTAAAAATCAATTAAAAACGTATTTTTGCACTTTGCTGTGAGCGAACGAGCCAGGCCAGGGCAAAAGGAGAAAGAAAAGCATTTAGATAGGTACGGGGATGTATATATAGAAAGATATATATATATATATATAGATATATAGATATAGATATAGGAACAGAAACAAAAAGTTGGGTAGGGCTATTGACAGGGAGGAGGAAATTAGGCAGTGTGTTCACTGGGAAAAAAGAAGAAAGTTCTTATAGTAGAAAATGTAATGAAAATGTTACAGAATTTTGTGATTAACTTTAGAAAGTTGAGTAATCTGAATAAGACTAAAAGTATATATAATAATTTCATACTTTTATGATGTTTTATAGAGGGAAAAGCGACTTACGAGATGTAATATTAATATTTCTATAATATCAGCTTATTGACCTGACCCCCTAGATTTTCCTCCCACACAGTCCAGTTCTTTGTGTGTTTATCTCTGTGTATGTTTATGTTGTTTGATTATTGGAACTGAAGTTGAAATTGAAAGAGCTTAATTGAATTAATGTTCGGCATGAGAATGAGAAGGGAGTGGGGTGGTAAGTGGGGCCTGGCCTTAGATAGATGGGAAATTTATTTGCTCATAATTCTTCGATTGCCGATGTTTTGAACTCTGATGGGAATTCGTCTCGCCATTCAATCAACGATGACGACGACTCTGAATTAAATGCCTGGCAGTTGGGGGGATGGGTTAAAGACCACCCGCATTTATTGATTCGAACTTAACCCCTTTTAGGAACTTCAACTGGAAGTTAACCCTTTTGTCGACCAAAAAGGTCGCGACATCGGACAGCGTTTATCATTAAATTGCAATTAAAATTGACATGAAATTTGATTTATATAAGTACTATATGGTATATATATACATATATCTACAAATTATAATGCATATTAAAGGGTTAAAGGGTTGATTGGACAGAAGAGGGGTTTGGCTTTCATGTTTGACTTGCAATTAGTTAGGGGCCAGAAAGGTAGTTGAGGTTTTTGGAAGGGAAGAGAGCAGGCTAATTAGTATAATGATATAAAGGGAAACTTAACCCCAAGAAATCTTATAAGCTTAACTCAAAAAAAAAAACAACCCATAAATATCTTGGAAAAGTGTTTTTCACTTCCCTCATTTTGATCGCATGCCAGCCGTTAATTTTTGATCACCCAAAAAAGAGCTAGCCTGGTGATGATTATGGCGACACGCCGATGATTAGATGGGGAAAAACACACACACACAGAAAACGAGATGAAAATTCCAATTCATTTGAATTTGCATATTAAAAGAAAGAAAGAAAAGCAAAGGAAAGCAAAGCTTGGGCGGCGTTCCATAAAATTTTGTTTCGATTTGGATTCGGATTCGGATTCAG